TAAAGCCCTCAAGCGGACTAAAGCCCACGGAAAGCCCAAAAAAAAGATACCCCCTGAACTCTAAACTTAAGACCAGGATTGCCTGTATTGTCTGAGAGAGGGGTTGGGAATTGTTTTTGTGAATTATTTGTGATTTGCTTGTGATCGGCAAGTGTGATTTTTGTTTGAATCAGGATTTGGCAGGTCCTGGCTATGCGATTTCGGTGTGAATTGTTTGTGATTTTTTTGTGTTTTGTTTGTGATTTATTTGTGTTTTATTTGTGATTTATTTGTTTTTTTTTTGTGATTTGTTTGTGACTTGGTTTTGTGATGTTTCGGTGTTCCGTGTGTGGTGTGTGTTTTCGTTTTTTGTGATGTTATGGGTGTGTGTTTGGAGTATTGCACTGCCTCAACAGATCGCATGGCCCAAGAGGGGAGGGGTGGCGCGGGGGGAGGTGGGGGGGCGGTGGGGCGGGGTGCGCCATGGGTTTGGGACCCCAGACCCTTTCAAGGAACCGTGCGAGGGGGAGGGGGGGCGGGGTGCGGGGGGGCGTGGGGGGTGTTGGGGGGGTGTGGGGCGTGGGGCAGGGGCGGGCGGGGGGTGGGGGAGGGGGGGGGGGAGCGGCCGGGACACTTTTTCACACTTTTTTCACACTTTTTTCACACTTGTTTCACACTTTTTTCACACTTTTTTCACACTTGTTTCACACTTTTTTCACACTTTTTTCACACTTTTACCAAGCCCTCCGCCCCCACCAGCACAAGCCCTCACAAGCCCACACCGGGGAGCGCGCGTGCGCGGCCTCACAAAAGTGTGAAAAAAGTGTCCCGGCACCCTAGCACACCCCTCATGCCCTGCCCCCCAAAAGTGTGAAAAAAGTGTTCCGGCCGCCACCCGCCCTCACCACCCCCCGAAGCTGGGAAGGCTTAAGAGGGGGTAGGCTTGGCCTGGCCTGGCCTATACCTTTACAGGCCAAGCCAGCTGAAGGCGCACTAACAGCCAATAGCTGCAGCTGAAGAGCTGCGCCCCAACACCCCAGACTCCGAACAAAAACACACAAACCTCAACCATAAACATCGTGGACCCTCAAAGCAAAATGCCTATCCCTGTAGCCCTAGCCCTGCAACCTGGCTGCAACCCTTAAGCCCGAGCAGCAGGAAAGCAATATTGGACTAATAATCATTAATAATCCTTCACCAACGGATTATCAATGTTTCACATTTATTCTACACTTTTATTTCAGACGGAAGGAGAGATGGTCACAGATTTTTCACACATTTTTCACATTTATTTTACACTTCAGTGAGCTCTCCGAATCTCCTGAAAACACTTATTTCAATCTTTGTTCACACATTCGGATCATACACATTTCACACTTTTTTTACAAAATAATTATTTGGTGATTTCCAGCCTATATGGGGGAGTCCTGGTCACAACTCTAAACGAAGCGCTGCCATAAAGTGGAAACAACGTGTACATACTATGGTGATAAAGCACTTCTAATGCGGTCATAACGCCCGCGCGAATAAAGCTTTAGATGAAGCAAGCAGTACACGCTACTCCCTTTTTCATACAGTGCGTCAAATGCAGGAATAACGCGGTATAGCAAGCTAACGCAGTCGTAGAAACGCGGCAAGAGATCACAACTTACGTAGTATCAATGCGCTAATGGAGCGGTATAGTGCAATCATAAGGCGCTACTATCTCGCTGACAGATATCACGATAATCGTGCTCATTGACTACAGCTTTGGCGTATGTCTACTGCGTTTTGTAGGACTTCACCGTGATTGTGCCGCTCTGTTACCGCGTTCCTCTATTGCCATGTTGTTACCTGTCTATTCCCGTTATTCCCGCATTTGAAGCGAGTTGAGTTAGGGAGATAAGAACGTTGTAATACAGCGAACGGTAACAGCGTGCTAATGGAGCTGTGCGTGCTAACGCGGTCGGTGTTATGAAATGCACGCCGCAATTACTGAGTAATGCGGTAACTCAGCCTGAACGCCTAAACCCCAAACCCCTATCCCTAAACCCTAAACCCCCAAACCTCTAACCCTAAACCCTGAACCCCCAAACCCCAAGCCCTGCCTGCTGGAGGACAGGCCCCACCCGCGTGCGTCGACTTGGATTGAGGGGCACTGAGCCCCTCCTTCGGGCCCCCTTTCGGGGCTGCTCAGGGCTCGGGGTTCTTTCTTATGGGGTTTAGGGTTTCGGGGTGAGGGTTTAGGGTTTGGGGTTTAGGGTAGTTTAGAAGGGGTTGGGGAGTGTAAGGGCCCCAATGAAGGGGTGTAGGGGTTTTGGGCTTGGGCTGATAGGTCTTGAGGTGTCGCAGCCCCATCAGCGTTGGGGGTTCAAGAGTCTGGGGTGCGTCTAGGCTTGAGAGGTTTAGGGCTTCCAGGGTTTTGGGTCGGTAGGGTGTCTGAAGTTTTTTGGGGGGTTTCTGAGGGCGTAGAGCTCAAGCCAACGCTTCAAGGGCTTTACCTCAGCAGCTGCTTCGGATTGAAGCAGCTGGGGGCCTCCTAGGATGGGCGATCCTACCCTCGAATTCTCCCCCCAAAACGGGCGTAGAATCCCTTAATCCTCCCAAGCAAGCCGTCGGACCCCTTGAAAAGACTAAGCAAGGCCTAGTAGGTTGCCCTTCAGTAGGATCGGCTTCGGAGAATTACAAGGCGGGTGGAGGGTTTAGGAGTTTAAAACCCTAAACCCGAAACCCTAAACCCTAAACCCTAAGGGGTTTTAGTGTGTAGCGTTTAGGGGTCTACAGCCCATCCTGGTTGTGGGACCCGCCTGGGCCCAGCGCGCCTGGGAAGTTCGTTTAAGTGACGGAGGTGATGCGGGGCGCAAACCATCAGGCTGCGTGTATCTTGAATACTTAGGGATACTTAGGGTTTAGGGTTTAGGGTTTAGGGTTTAGGGGATAGTTCTTGATTGTTTTGGTACTATAACTCCTAAGAAACAGCTAAAACTACATGTTTCTAGAGTAGGGGGTGATCGGGTCATTGGCTCACACGGGCGATTGTGTCGCATCCACGCAAGTGGGAGAAAGCAAGGACGGTTCAGGGAGCTCTGGCTGATGCACGCATTGAAGATGTCCACTGCCAGTTGAGGCATGAAAAGCATGTCATATGAAGTGCGCCAGGTCAAACCAAAAGCTTTAGGAGATACCACGTCGGTTGACCCCTGTAATGCTGAGTTTTATTTAGACCGGTGACTGGGTGAGAGAAGAGAATGTTTACCCGACGATCAGCTGCTCCGAATGCTGTGCTTTGGAGCATTTGGTTCAGATAGGCATTGCTCGTTTAGCTGCATGTGCCTGGTGGCAGCCCCTGAATCAAAAGAGCCCAATGCCCGCAAGCTACGCGCCACCGACTTTCTGGCCGACACTCTGCATCCCTCAGAGAGAGACACCTCAATTCAAGCCCTTAAAAAGGACTTCAACCAACTGGCTCGTAGTAGGAGATGAGGGGATTCGGCACCTTGTACCCCCCTCTTGTAATTTTCTTCAAGTGGTTCCTAATCGGGTACCTGACGAAGCCATGAAGTCCTTGCCGCGCTGTAGCGGGCCGACGCTGTCCTTGCAGGCGACATGTCGGGCGCTGGACCCATGAAGGGTCTCCCTTGCTTCGGAGCTAGTTCTATTTATGGTGGGCTCCCTCTGTCCTGTGAGAAGACACGTCATTCTTCGCTGCCCCTTAGAAAGAGTGACAACTCAGGGCCTAGGTACACCCCACGCCTCAAAATGCGGTTTGAGGTTCTTTTGCCTTTGAGGCTCGTGAAAACTCCCTCCGCCTTATTGAAGTCACTACGCTGGGGAGGGGGGCGGGGCCCTACTTGGAGGTTCAGAGGTACTTACACGCTAAGCAAGGTCAGAACGAGCTATACTTGTAAATGAGGACCCTACTTATCACCCTACTTGAAGACTTGTTAGTATGGGGGGAACATCCCAAGTTTTGGGTTTAGAGTTTAGTAGTGTCAAGTTTGTTTTCAGGAAAACTCACGCAGGCTCCCCAAATTCCTCAGACAGACTGCCAGGTTGGGCAGTTCTTTGAGGATGCCCAGGCAGGTCGTTTGAAGTTAGAGAGAGTCTTTAGGGTTTAGGGTTCAGGGTTTAGGGTTGAGAGTCTTGGGGTACTTCCTCCATTTGGTGCGGCAAACGTTTGGTGCACGGGGCTACTGTAGAGCGCTTTTCTACCCTACGGCAAGCCCTACGGCGCATTGAGCTCAAACTCTTCAACTGGTAGTGGTTGTTCAATATTTTAATTTCCTGGCTTCCACATGCTAAACTTTCCGACAGGCGCCGTAGTATGGCGCCCTATACAAAAACCTTTCGATCAAGGGCAACTGTGTTCAGAACCTGAGTATCAGAGAGATGGCCGACCCTGGCGGTGGGAGCTTACTGTAAGCACTGCGAGAGGAATCATTGTCAAGGAGCACTTTTTCGATTCAATCGGAGAGCCCCACATCCCTTTTAAATATAGTTTTCAGGACGTTCCTAAACCCAAAAGATACACCTGTGCCCACAACTACAGCCTAAGCCCTGACGCCCTTCTGCGCTAGAACCCCCTAACCCTAAATACGAATGGACCCCGAGGTGCAGCGCTTCGCTTTGCTCAGCGCGGCCTTCATCTGCCACGGGGCTGTCGATTGCGGGGGTTCAGGGGTTAGGGGCTTACCTATATGGGTCGGAGCAGTTGCTAAAGGTTTTCCCTTATGGTCCCTTTTTAAATACACTATCATACCCGCCCAAAACCCCATGTTAGGCGTTGAGTGTTTAAGTGTTCCGGGTCCAGCTTTTGTGTCAAACAGAGCTTGGGCAATGCCCTCGAGAAGAGGGTTCCGGTGGCGGGTTTTTGGAACAAATGGTTGATGCTCGTGGTGCTCACCAGTCAGGTCTTCTTTGGCATCGAATGCCAACACTAACACAAAGACCTGCTCTCGGGCAAAAGGACCCATAAAAACCCCTGGGCCCTAAACCCTAAAGGGTTCTGTCGACTTCCAAAGAAGTCGGGCCGCCGAGGCTCCATGGAAATCAGCTGTATCATCGAGGAGTACATCTTCGCTCCCTGGCCGGAGCAGTCAGGTTCATGAGAAGGGTTTAGGGGTCTTAGGGTTTACGGACCTGGCAGCCGGGAAAGGACGGAAAACCTTCTGCCACCCAAAAGTCTCCCTGCATTGCACAGGCTGCAGCCGAGGCGGCGCGCCTTTGCGCAGGGTGATCAGCAGGGCAACTGTAGCTATACGTCAGATGAGAGGCCCGTAGGTGCCTCAACCCGAATCCCTAACTGCAACACGTAAAAAAATCTTCAGCCTTTGAAGCCCTAAATGCCCTAAACGACATCTAGGAAGCCTGTAGGTTGCGTTACCCGGCTTTCGCGGCTTTTACTGGACAGTGGCGCTGGTCGAACTGGGACGCCGGCCTGCATTGGAAGCGGGTTCGAACATGAGAAGCAGGTTCTCGGTTCTCAGGGAGACAAGGGGGTTTGGGGGCGGGGTGGGATGCCTTGAATCCTAAACCCTAAGCCCAGAACCCGGTTTTTTATTCTCTTGTGGGACCCTTACTGAGTCCTAAATCAGTTGATCCTGCACCCCTACACCTCGTAGGCGCCTCAAGAGAGTGTCTGAGAAGGTTCTCTAGGGCTAGCACCTTTTAAGCCCGAGGAGTAGCTTAAGGAACCCTACAACGAACCTAGCTTCCGGTTAGGCTCAAGCTGGCGGAGCTGGATGTTCCCAGAGCTGAAGAAAGTCCTTTCGTTGACATATACATATATATATATATTCATACATGTATATTTCTTGATTTCTTCATTTATTTGTTTAAATATTTCTTTTCTTTTAGAGTACATGTATGCCTTAAACTATAGGATTGGGAGGTGCTGACTGTGAAGCAAGGCATGAAAGCTCTAGGTGGGAAGGGTCCGTAAGCCACATAAGGTCGAGGTTGATGGCTGACGGTTCTGTGCTTGCAGCCAAAAACAACCGAAACACTGAAGACTAAACTTGCGAGGTTCCCCCTTATACTGACAGTACTTAACAGGGATAATAGGTACCCCCTCTTTTTAATCCCGATTAAGGACTGTTGGTATGAGGGGGAACATCCCAAGACTAAACCAAGTGGGTGGGCGGCAGCGGATGGTTGGAAAAATAGCGATAGAAGATCTCTGGCCCAGACCAGAGGCAGGTGAGGAAAAACGAATAGCTTATGCGACACGGCGCAAGATAGGGGTCTGAATAATTGCAAATAGTATGCCCTTATGGTTCTTATGTAATGATACTATATTCACGCCCAAAACTCCATTCCAATGAATGATTCAGGCCCCCATACAATCCGGGGCTTCAGCCGCTACCGCCTCAGAATTGCTGCGGGTTTAGCCTTCGACCCCACCTTTCACCGAGGCTTCTTCGCCATTTCCGCCATAGCGACTCGATGGAAGGCCCCGGGAGAAGTCTGAGTCAAACATTGAGATGGACGCACTTGATGTTCCAATGTCGCTTCTGGCCAGCCACTTGACTTTATAAGATTGATGAAAACTCATGCCGACGACACCGTTCGACTAAGACACGGGCGAGAGCGATCACGGCAACAGAGGACGTCCACGACAGCAGCAGCAGCAAGAAGAAGAAGAAGAAGAAGAGCGGCAACATCAGCAGCGGCAACAGAGCTGCGATTGGCAACGGAAGCTTCTGCCCTAAACCAACCTGCCCTTCACATCCCTTTGCCCCTGCATTCTGGAACTTTATGGAGCTTTCTTGGCCAAGGCTGCAAAGCTTCTAACTATTCAGGCCCCTATTCTACCCTCAGCACCACTTGTCAGGAGTACGGAATTGTCGGGGCCATGCGTCAACCGCTCCAGGCCTGGTAGACAACGGTTTACTAAGAGGCTTTTTCGAGGTTTGTGGCGCAATTGGACACCAAGGTGGTGGCTTCCCAACGGGTTCGCTAATCCCCTAAACCCCTAAACCCCAGAAACCCCTAAACCCCAGAAACCCCTAAACCCCATAAACCCCTAAACCCCATAAACCTAAACCCCTGAACCCCTAAACCCTTCACAGGCGCCCCTGAAGCTCTACGCCCTCATGGCTCTCCTCCTGGGCCTGTCCCAGGGCCTGGGGAAGATCACGTTCCGGCGCGCGGGAGCGAGAGGGAACCGGGCTCGGGTTTAGGGTTTAGGGTTTAGGGTTCAGGGTTTAGGATTCAGGGTTTAGGATTCAGGGTTTAGGGTTTAGAGTTTAGGGTTTATAGAGGGTTTAGGGTTTAGGGTTTAGGGGGTGTGTCTAGTTCTTTTGGAGCAGAGCCTTGCTGCTACCCCTTCGCATAAGCCCCCCTTCGCCTGGCTTCGCGTTGCCGTTTCCACCTTTGCGTCCCTTTTTTTTAGGGGTTTCGATTCCCTTATAAGCCCGTTTAAAGCAAGGAAGGCACCCTGTTTTTTATTTGTTTATTTTTCTAGGTTACTCTTGGATCTAGATTCTCAGGGTAGTTTCACGGACCCTTCATATGCATAAGGGGGCCCATATGAAGGGACCATGCAACCACCCTAAGATCGCTCCAGATGCCCTAGAGTAGGCCCCCATTCCCTCTTTTTTGGGGGGTTTCGGTTGCCTGATAAACCCCTGTAAACCAAAAATTGCACCCTTTTGATTCCCGGGCTACTGCAGGTACCTCAACTACGCAACCAACACGGTGATCAAGAGCGGCAAGCTGGTGCCCACCTTGCTGATCTCAGCGCCTTGGCTCCGACAGAGTTGGGTTGAGGGTTGAGGGTTGAGGGTTTAGGGTTGAGGGTTTAGGGTTTAGGGTTTAGGGTTTAGGGTTTAGGGTTTAGGGTTTAGGGTTTAGGGAGCTTCAGGGTTTCTGGGGCTCCTCTTGCTCTTGAGCTTTCATTCCTGCTGGCTTCATGGAAGGGTAGGGGTTGATTTGTGTGTTTGGGTTTGGGTGCACAAACCCTGAACCTCAAGCCCCCAGCCCTAAACTCCAAACTCACCCTAAATCCTGAACACCCAAAACCCGAAACCCCCCAAAAAAAAACCGAAGCCCGAAAGCTCCAAAAGAAGCTCCGCCCCCACTTGCCCCCAAAACCCGAGGTGATCTGGCTCGAGCGCAAAGTTTCGCTTGCAGAGTGGTCAGCTGCCGTGCTCCTGGTCCTCTCCTCCGCCTTCATGGCTCTGGGTGAGCAGGCAGGTCGCGACCTCGTTGAGGATTTAGGGTTCGGGTTTCGGGTTTAGGGTTTAGGGTTTAGGGTTTAGGGTTTAGGGTTTGTGAAAACTTGACTTTTGCAGCCTGTTTAAGCTGTAGGGGCTTCAGGTGTCGGAGTTTATGAAGAGTTGTGGGTTGAGGGTTCAAGGCTTCAGGGTGTTAGAGGGCTTAGAGTTTACAATGCAGCGGGGTCGTGCTAGCAAGCCAAAAAATGCCCTAACCTGCTCAAGAGTCTGTTTCTCCCTTTCCCGCTCGCTCTGTCTATCTCTCTCTCTCTCTCTCTCTCTATCTCTCTCTCTGCCTGCTCTTTTCCTGTGTTGCGTTCTAATCTAGACAAGTATACGGTTGATAGAGGCTGTCGAGATTTTGGGTTTATCGGGGGTTGGGAGATCAGAGGTTCAGCCCGCAGGAACTTTGATCTGAAGCGTACGGGTCCCTCAAGCGAGCACTGGGGCCTTAGAGATGTTGAGGCGACGTTAATCACTACATTCGCAACTTCCACCTTTTTGTGTGCAGGTGTGGACATTCGCACGTGAGAAGAAGACAGGAGCATTGAAAGACGAAAGGGTATAAGGTATCTATACAAACCCTAAAAACCAAACCCTAAAATGATGTGATTTGCATGTATCTAAACAGTATTCCAAGAGCGCTCGCTACGGCACAGGCTGTGACGCCCAGCTTCAATCCAATAGGCTGCGGAGGGTCTGTCCACTTCGAGGTTCATAGGGTTTTGGGGTCTTGGGGTTAGGGGGGAGGACTTAGAATCAGAACCTCTCCCATGAACCTCCAAGCAGGATGTTGGGCATAGTGCTTGGGCTGTTTCCATCCTACACCCTATAACCCTAAACCCTCCAAACCTTCGATCTCCAACCCTTAGACCCAAAACTCTTGCGCTCTAAACCCTCAACCCCTAAACCCCGAAGCCTCAATCGTACACAGGGCTCAGAGCATTCATCGTATCACAATAGGATCCACAAAAGGCACCATACTTCTGCGAACTTCCCACATCCTTAACACTAAGCCTTGCAAAGCACCCCCGAGTTGTCAGCTTGCTCGCACCGGGGCCCTGACCCCCGCTGCTACTTCCGAACATGAACCCTTCAGGTGCACACGCAGGCTTATGTAGCCTCCCTGGTGCAAATCTTGCTTAGCGACTAGAGCCTGAACCCCCAACGCCAAAGCCCCAAATCCTAAAGCCCCAAACCCTAAACCCTAAACCCTCAACGCCAAAGCCCCAAACCATAAACCCCAAAACCCTAAACCCTAAACCCCAGATCCCTGAAAACCCCCTAAACCCCAAACCCCAAACCCTGGAAGGCCTGATCCTGGCCGGCTTACAGCTCCTGTGCGCGGCAATGCAGGGAAACCTCCAGGCACACCTCTTGGGCTGGCTCAAGTTTTGGTGGGGGGGGGGGGGGGGTTGGGGAGGTTTGGGGGGTTTAGGGGTGTAGTGCAGCGTTAGCAGTACCCGTAGTAGAGGTGGCCTCCGGAGATTTGTTCTCGAGCAGCTCTGGGGTCAGGGCCATGAAATGCCGGGTCCATATATGCGGTTTAAAGAGCTTAGAGGCCGTTATCACGGCTTATTCTCCCCAGAGAGCCCAATACCCCTCAAATAAAGGAATATGCCTCGAATGCTGATGGGGGGGTCCTAGTCTGAATTAAGGGTTTGAGCGTTTAGGCTTAGGGCTTTGAGATATTAATTTCGCCGAACCTTCAATGCTTGAAGAAATGGCGTTTCGCTGCACATAAGCCAGCTGATTTTTCTGTCTGCACTTCGCGTGGTCTAAGGGGAAGCTTCAGAGTCTGCTACTTTTCTGCGGCTTGAATAACAGTAAGAAAGCTCGGAATGGGACCTCTTGAGTTGTGTAGGTACTCTACTCGTAGTAGGCACTCTTTTGGCCGTAGCCCGAGAGGCCCTAAATGCACCTTTAGAAAGAGAGATACAGCTGCAAGGCTTAGTTCAGGTGTAGGGTTTGGGTTTTCGGGTTTGGGGAAGGGTCCGGTCGCAGGAGAAAGCGCTCAAGGACTACGGCGCGTCGATCACAGAGGTGCGCTTTGAACCCTAAAACCCGAAGCCCGAAACCCTGAACCCTAAACCCTAAACCCGCATCCCTGGGGTGTCTGTAGATCGGTTCCAGCGCGAGTCTCCGCAGGGAAGGTGGCCGAAATAAGGCAAGCCCACTTGGAGGTTCATGGGAACTTCTAGGCGGGGTCAGAGAAGCACCCCAAGATGCTGCTATAACCGGCTACAAGTAGGATTGCCCGACTTCAAAAACCCTACTTAGAGGTATCCATGAGCCTCCAAAGCAGTGGAGGTGCCGAAGTGTACGGCGGGGGCCTGTTCTACAGTGTGCCCTTGAAGTGAAGGACCATGGGAAAGTTTACATTTTAAAGAATTCTATCAGTTTACACGTATATTTGTTTACACCTCTCTAAATGATGGTTCCTTTCAGACTTCTTACTTTGCCCAGGGGCTTGAACAGTCTTTAGGGTCCAAAAACTGGAGGGTCGGCCACCTAAATAAACCCCTCTTAGAGAGAAGCGTTTGGATGTCCCTAAACCCTAAACCCCAAACCCTATGTGGAGGCCCTTGCCTGCAGCAACGGCTTCGGAGTGATCGTTGCAGCGGGCTCAGGAGCTCGGGAGAGAAAGAGGTACGTTTAAGGGTTGGGGGTTGAGGGTTTAGGGTGGCCTTGGAAGTGCACACAAATGCATGATTGTGGTAAGAGAATGCGATGCAGTCGCAGTCACTGAATCGCTCAGGCGCCGGGATTGTGATAGCATGTGTTGCTTTTCAGACAGGTGGTTGCCATATGACTGGGGTTCAGTTCCGAGCTTGGCCCATGTCTGAACAGGTGCCCCAAAAGGGGCCCTAGAAACGGCAGCCTACCAGCTGCTGTACACCCCAAAACCCTAAACCCTAGACCCTAAACCCTAGACCCTAGACACTAAACCCTAATCAGCTCTGAGCTAGGGTGTAGCATTTAGGGCTTTCCTAAACCCAAAACTTCAAGAATCCTACAGTGGGCTAGTAGAGGAATAAAGGAACAGTACCAAGAGCAACTCCCAGAATGCTCCTGTTCCTTCATTCCCTACTCATCAGCGGTAAGACCCAAACAAGAGACGGAACAGAACGAAACCCGAACAAAAAGCCGAAGATGAAGCTGAGGTTTGGGTGGCAGTGCAGGCACGCACGTCGCGTTTGCCGGCTTCTGCCTTGGGGTAGGTACAAGGCTATGGCGACTGTACCAGAACAAAAGCCCCAATGGGCCCATAAGAACCCCTCTGCGTACATGTACATGTATATCTACTACTCGCTTAAGAACCCCCCTTCCCAAAAAAAAGGGACAATAATCTCCATATTACCCTGATAAGAGAATGACATTGATTTTCTTTGGGGGGTGGGGGGGGTTCTGAAGCAAATGGTAGGTATGTACGCCTACAGCAGTACCCTCCAGCAAGTCCACTGAGCCCCTAAACCCTGGAAGCAAAGTCGGCTTGCGGGGTACCGAACTCAAGGTGGGTGTAGGGTTCCAGGGTTTAGGGTTTAAGGGTTTAGGGTTTGAGGGTTTAGGGTTTAGGGTTTAGGGTTTAGGCCTTAGGCCTTCCAAAAGGGTGCCTTTTACTGGCAGGTCTCTGGCGAAGCTGGGCCCGCCTTGGAGTTCTTCCTGAGCTCGCCGCACCCCGGCCGGGGTTAACGGGGTTTTTGGGGTTTAGGGTATAGGGTTTTTGGGGTTTAGGGTTTAGGGTTTAGGGTTTTTGGGGGTTTGGCCCCTCCTTGAGGGTGGAGACTTCCTTGAAGGGGTTTCATAGGGGCATTAAGGGGTTCAGGGGTTTCGGGTTTTAGGGGTTTAGGGTTTAGGGTTTTAGGGGTTAAGGGACTAAGGGGTTTAGGCGTTTAGGGTTTTTGGGGTTTTGTGGTTTTGGGCTTCGGGAGCTGAGGGGGCTCTGGAGCTTGGGTATGTGGTTGTTCGTGTTGCTTTTGTGGGACTTCTGCTTGCACAGGGACGACTACGAACCGGCAAGCCCCAAATGTCCAAAGAGCCCAGACTACCCCTTAAGGAGTACACCTTAAGGCATACCAAAATCCCTACTTCTGGTTTAAGGTATCCCTAAACCCTAAACCCTAAACCCTAAACCCTAAACCCTAAACCTGAAAGGACATTGGCCTCTCTCTCTCTCTCTCTCTCTCTCGCTCTCTCTCGCTCTCTCTTTGTGGGCCGAGGCTTGCCTTGAGCCTGGTCCTCCTCCGGTCGCTGTTTTTCTTTCTGGGCGACTGGGAATTCAGGGGGGGGGGGGGGGGGGGGGGGGGGGAGGGTTCGGGTTTTAGGGTTTGAGGTTTAGGGTTTGAGGGTTTGAGGCTTTGAGGTTTAGGGTTTGAGGGTTTGAGGTTAGGGTTTAGGGTTTTTTGCGAGGGGATTTCTTGCGGAGCTGCCGGGGGACTCTGACTTTTCGTATTCTGCTGGGTCGACGGTTTGAAGGTATGGCTGCTGCCTTTTGCACCTTACAGGGGTTCTTGGGCTTCTTGGGTTCATGGGACGCTCACTTCGAGGCTAGGGGTGTGAGGATTGAGAAAGGGGGTGTGGGTGTGTGTATTATATATACAGATATGTTTTTTTCTCTCTTCCGGATAGGGAGATCTAGAGTAGTAGCATGAAAAGACCATGTTCGGGGGGGGGAAGCGGGGGGGGCGTATACACCCTAGACCTCCGGTGGGGTTCGGGGCTTACGAATTCGGACGATACCCCTTCTGTCAGAGACGGGCTTATGCCCTTGACAACTTTTGGGTTTTTGGTCCTCGATCTTCCTGACACCGCAACCCGAGAGTTCTGCAGCGGAAGCCCCTGCAGGCGTCGTGGCGCTTACTGCTTTGACAAAGGCGGCGCGCAGACTTTATGGGTTTCAGACGAGTTTACGGTTTGGGCTTTAGGGCCTTTAGGGCGTTTCCGCACGCAGCCACCTGCATGAGCCTTTTCAGGCTGCCTGGTCACGAATCCCGAAGTGCATGCTAAGCCCCCGACAGTCCAACGTGATGCCAGGACCACGGGACAGGAGCAGCGACGGCCGTAGGCACGGCGCGAAAGTCACTGACCGTGCCGCCTGCCCAGCACAAAGTTGTCGAGCGAATGGTCTTGACGTCCTGGAGTCGGCGAGATGAATCTGCTAGATGAGCATGTATACATATATACAAATATACATATGTACATATACACGTATTCGAGACAGGCGATCTGTCCGAGAAAGTGCGCATACGTATATCTACACAAGCATACACATTGCTGCGCGAAGTCTGAGTCGAAGCCAAGAAATGAAGGCGCCGCATCGTCTTTCTGATCTTCCGAGGCTGTTCTCCTTCATGATGTTTCCAAAGCCCTGGCACATGAGCCTTGCCTGCAGCCGTGCGCGCTTTAGACTTGCCGGGGGAAGGGGCGGTGGGGGAGAGAGGTTCGGGGCCTTCAGCCCGAAGCCCTATGGCCCTGAACTTAACTTTCCCGGGCCCCAGCAAACCCAGCCGCATGTTTTGAAACTTCGGCGTGGCTTCTGGATCCCTGAACCCTGAACCTAGAGGGTGTTAGGGGTTAGCGTTCATGGGTGGATGGATGATAAAGGCCCATGGCCCCGCTTCCATAGCCTTCCAGGCCCGACTTTCTTGCAAGGAACCTGCAGACCCAAATTGGGGCCCAAGCCCTAAACCCAGAACTGCAGCCAAAACCCCCCAAAGTCCCTAAACCCTAAACCGAAAACAACTTAGGGTTTGGGTTGGAGGGTTTAAGTGTAATTTAGGTTTACGAAGGTGAGGGCGGACCCGAGAAACCCCCAAGCGCCCTAAACCCTAACCCTAAACCCTAAACCCTAAACCCTAAACCCTAAACCCTAAACATCCCTAAACCCTAAACCCTAAACCCTAAACCCCCGTCCCCCGTCTTGAGGAACTATGTCTTGGGCACCTTTGCTTCCCGGCTCAAGCGGGTGTGGGCAAAGGACCGCCTCAGACCTCTGAACCCTTGACCCCTTTAGGGTTTAGGGTTTAGGATTTAGGGTTCAGGGTTTAGGGTTTAGGGTCTAGGGCTTAGGGTTTAGGGTTTAGGGTTTAGGGTCCCTAAACCCTTGAAGCCTTAAACCTCAAAGCCTGAACCGAAGGCAGCGTAGAACTTGGAACTTCCGCACGAAACTTCCTGCCAGGATGGGCGATTAGGCCCTATAACCCCCATGAACAGCCCCGTAAAGGCCTTTTAGGGTTATTTGTACCCTAACTACCGTAAACCGCTAGCTGAGCTTTGAGTTCGGGATCATACTTCACAGTCAGATCCCCTCTGTTGCCGCCCGAAGAGGGATCGGGGTTTAACGGCTCGAGGGGTGTGATTTTGGGTCTCGGGTTTTAGGGACAGTCAGGGATCTACAAACCAGCGGTAGGCACAGTGGGAAGCAGAGACTCACACGTCCAGCCCTACATATACGCTTGCAATGTAACTGCAGGCAACTAAACGCTTTTTCCACCGCTTTTTCCAAGACACCAGATGCACCCAAAAAGCCTCACTAATTGACTCTGGGGCTGGAAGCTTTCATTGGTGACCTTTCCCATCATGCTTGCATTGATTTTATTATCATGCGCTACACGCAAGTTCTTTGGCCGTGCGGTCAACAATCGTAGACGTGAAGAGAGCACATCAGTTTCATTGCAAATGAAGTGAGTGAAAAGAACGCTATGCGTGAATAAACGTAAGGTGTGGACGGAACAACGACAACTGAGTTTACTGGGGGAAAAACGCCCAATTAGTGAAGACTATTTTGCACGGATTCTCATCACATGTCACTGTGACCAGATGTCATCGCGGCAGATGCGATGTCTCCTCTTTTACGGGGTAGGTGTGGACTGCCAGCTCCAGCTGTTTGCGAAGTACTCTACGAACCTTCTTCACGTCAAGGCGTACTCCATATGCCAAGCGAAGAAGTACCCGAAAAAGGTACCAGAAAACGGCTCTCTCTCTCTCTCTCCCTCTCCCTCTCCCTCTCCCTCTCCCTCTCCCTCTCCCTCTCTCTCTCTCTCTCTCTCTATCTCTCTCTCTCTCTCTCTCTCTCTCTCTCTCTCTCTCTCTCTCTGTCTCTCTCTACCAACCTGCTTAGGACCTCTAGGAGAGGAAACCGCTCCAAAGATCTTGGCCCTGCTCAGAAGAAGCCCTGCTGATTCAACAAGGCCCAAACAAGCCCAAGAACTCTGAACCCTAAAATCTACAACCCAGTTGTGGATTGACACCCAAGGCTTTCATCGTGGCGGACCTGATCTACTTTCAGGTTCATTGGGGGCGTAGGTTTGGGGTTTAGGGCTTGGGGACGGAAGACTCCAGTGTAGTTCCTATTGGGGTTTGTTGTGGTTTACCACACTACAAGAGCTACCCAGACACCCTTAACTCAGTTCCTTCCCCGAAAAGCCCTAAACGTGAAGAGAGCCCACCACTCAGAATCGCAAGAAGTGGTGGCTGGCACGTAGCAAGCACGGCCAAAAGGTATATTGCGGGGCTTGGGATGATGTCGGAGAAATTTCTGGGTCGTGGACACGAAGATGGCAGCCATCTCAAAAAGGCAATCTTTTCTGGGCTTCAGGGGTTTTTTGGGGTTTAGGGTTTAGGGTTTAGGGGTTTAGGGGTTTAGGGTTTAGGGTTTAGGGTTTAGGGTTTAGGGTTTAGGGTTTAGGGCACCGGAGCATCTTCCAGGTCAGCTCTGCACGAGCCTCTGCACGCCGGAAGCTGGCAGCAGCTTGCTGGAACGAGAGAGGCCCTAAACCCTAAACCCTAAACCGGTTTTTTGGGGGCTTGGGGGGCTTCGAGTTGAGGCCTCGGGATTTAAGACCTTCGCATCTTCAGTGTTTGGGTTTCAAGTTTGGGGAAAGGCAGCGGAACCTAGATCTCCGCAATCACCACGTCGCCTATGGCTTGCTGGGAGGTGCCAGGCGGAGGCAGCCTCCGGCCGGAAGGCAGAATCCTACTTTTTCAGGCTGCTGAAACCGCAGGGTCGTGCTGCAACGCTCCAAATCCAAAACCCCTAAAGCCCCAAACCCCAACCCTAAACCCTGCGACCCTTGAATGCCCAACCCCTCAACTCCGGAAACCCGAAACTCCAAGACTCCTCAACTGAACCCTAAACCCTAAACCCTAAACCCTGAAACCCCTTTTGGGAGCTGAGGCTGGGAGCCCAGAAGATGGCAACGCCAGGCCGCATCTCCTGAAACCTGAGGGTTTAGGGTTTAGGGTTGAACCCAATCAATTTTAGGGTTTGGGGGCTTAGGGTGTGGGATTCTAGTAGGGTTTCTAGGGTTTAGAGGTTAGGGTTGAGGGTTTAGGGTTCCAAGTTTAGGGTGTTAAGGTTTTAGGGTCTTTGAGCCTTTTTGTGGGCATCCTAAAGGACCAGTTTACTTCAGCTCGGTTGCCAGCTTCTTAGACAAACAACTTGGGAAGTTCACATCGCATACAATTTCCATGTATTTCGTCTTGAGGGTTTGCTGTTTAGGGGCTAGGGTTAGCCCTAAACCCTAAAACAGCACTCAGTACCAGAGGGGATTTGACCACATTGCCAATGGGCTTTCGTGTCAGGTTGAGGGGCTTTGGAGTTAGGGTTTTCCCCTACACCCTAAAAACCAAGCCCTGAACCCTTCGTAGGTCAAAGCCGCCAATCTGGGCAGAAAGCTTTCGGGTGACATTCGCTCTACCGGCTTAGGGTGGCGGGCGTAGGGCTTGTTCTCAGGGTTTAGGGTTTTTTTTCCAGGGGTTTAGGGTATAATAGCTCTCCGAAGCACATTCTGAGCACACCAGCCGTCACTTGCGAGGCACTGCAGCAAAGACGAAGTGTGATCGGAGTTTTTCTGGAGGCAAACCGCGAGCTAGGCGCCAATAGCTGCCAGCCGGGACCGCTTGCATGCAACAGGGCAAAATGGTGCAAAAAGCTCCATGGGTTCCCCTACTCCCCTTCTAGGTTCCCCCCTTACATAACCTTAATTAGGCCTAGATAGCCTTGATGGGATAGAGGGGGGGTAGTAGGGGAACCCATGAAAGCTTGCGCCAGGCGTCTGAGACAGTGTGTTCTTGTCCGGGCTGTACGATGATCTTTCGTTGTGCTCGATCCTGTATACTTGTCGGTGTGGACTGTGCCCTCGGGCCTTGGGCTTATGTCGGGTTAAGGCTCTGAGAACCCTTAAGGATCTGAGAGCCCCAAGCTTTACTTCTAGCAGTCGGAGGGTTTCGGTAGCTCTAGGTCGGCCAAAGGAGAGCTGCAACTCCAAGTTGTTCAGCCTCTGAAGAGACGAACCCTATAAACCCACATGCTCATTTTTTGGGGGAGTTCACAGGACATCTGATTTCTTTGGTGTTCAGATCCTGTAAGCACCTGCTTTCTGTAGCCTACAAAGCTGCTGTAGGGAAGATGCCCGGCACTGAACCTTTCCGGCTCGCGTCAGCCGACATTAGCCTGCGAAACTCTACTGCTTGTGTGGGAGGTTCCGAGATTTTGGGGCTCTCCCAGGTATGGTCTAATCCTTGAATGGATCCCCAAGAAAGGGAGCCCCTTATTTAGGGTTTAGGGTTTAGGGTTTGGGGTTTAGGGAACCATGTGGACCTCGGGATCGCTGGCGTTGCTCCTCACTTGGGCCGCGTGTCCCGTGAGCGCGCACCGAATTGCCCGAGATGAGGCGCCAGGTGCTGAAGTCGAGAAGCCGCTCGCGCTTGCTTTCAGAACTGCTCTCCCGTTGAAGTTTCCTAAACCCTAAACCCTAACCCGATGTTGAACCCCAAACCCTAAACCTGCGAGCTAAGCTCTGGGCACAGCAAAGTTTGGCTTCTTGCGCAGTCTCCTCAGGTTGCAAAATTAGGGGGTTACCTTATTGGGGTCCTTGTTATAGGGGTCCCTGATGTTCGTAAACTCCCACGTGCTGAAAATCTCCTCTCAGGTTGCAAAGAAGGGTCGAGAAGTTGGAAGGGGCAGTGCAGAGGCTCTCTGCAGAGCAGCAGCTGGCCGAGATGAACATCCAAGCTGAACGGGACTGAGGTTTTTTAGGGGCCTTGCTAGGGACTTTTAGGAGGTTTTTAAGGGTGTTTTTGGGGTTTTTTGGGTTAAGGGGTTTAGGGGTCTTGGAGTCTAGGGATTAGGTCTCTGTCGGGAAGACTCACTCCCAGCCAGTGCTGGCTGGTGCTTGGCGCGCGTGCGCAGGACGATTTCGCCATGAGGCTGGGGCACCTGGAGTCGAAGCTTCGAGACTGGGCTGTGCTTTGGGATAATTTTTAAAATTTCGCTGCTTTCCTTATAAGGGAACCTATTCAAAAATAGTTTTCAAGGGGTTTAAAGCACAACTCAGGAGAGCTGGAAGAGAAGAAGGGGGACGAGGAGCCGAATGGTCGGGTTCGTTTAGGTCATACATAGGGGGTTTAGGAAACTAGGGGACCCCCCTAATATAGATCCCCAAATAGAAGGCTCCCCTTACTTACACAAAGGACCCCAAGCAGGTACCCCGAATTTCGGAAACCCACAGATTCGAAACCCTCAAACCCCGGTCGGATCGGGGGGTTGTCAGGACAGAATCTGGAGGGCCAGTCTACAGAGTGAGAACCCCTCCCCCCCCCTGACTGGTTTTTAGGACTGTTTCAGAAAGAAGGCAGACAAGGGAAGGGATTGACGGTTTAGGGGACGGACAAGGGTGTTTTTGTTTCAGTGGATGCGCATTGCGTTGAAGCATTGCAGACAAAGTTTTGGAACATTGCCCGCGCCAGGAGACGACAGTGGCATCTCCGAATACTGAGGAGTACGAGGAGGAGGCACGCATGGGACAAGTACCGGCGCAAGGAGGTTGTGCAGTTGTGCCTGTCCTTTTCTTTTTGCTTTGGTTGCCCGTACGCAGTGCTTGCTGCTATGAAGATGCTCATCTGCCGAGTGAAGGCTCAGAGTCCAAGTAACCCTGAAGACCCCGAGGCCGAGGTACCGGTGGCTGGAAACAAAGCTGACCTGCAACAGAAGCTGGAGGAGGCCGCTGCCGAGGGGCACGCTGCTGAAGCTTTGTCATAGTGGGGTAACATTTTGCATTTTTAAGGGCACTTAAAAACTCAATATGGAAGAGAAATTTATCTTTCTAATACTATCCCAACCATGATCTAGGAAGTGGTCCGGTTGATGAGGATGGGCGCGGATGCCTCTATGCGAGACGAGTGCTTTGGTGAGAACGGGCATCGGTTTGTCCCCAGAGAGCCAGTCAATAGAGAAGCAACCAGAAGCGAAAATGGGGAACAAGTTGGCGTTGGGGCTTCTAGAAACCCAGCACCTACAGCTGCGACGCCGAGGATGTAGGGTTTAGGGTTTACGGCAAGAAGACAAAACGGGTTTCTGAGCTTGGCTGACAGTTTTGCAAATGTGATACAGGGGCCGAGGCGTTGACAGTAACCTGCACTTTATGGCGTTGCTTGTGTGTCAAGCTGCCACAGAGCCAGCGAAAACTAGCACTCTACAAAAAGCCTAAAGCATCAACAACTAAAGTCGCTGACAACCACCGGAACACAAGCAACACAAGCTGTGCCTAGCACCCAACCTTAAATCACTGCGACTTGCAGTAAAGGTGTTGCAACACCGTCCATAGTTCTTGAGAAGCCAACCCCCTGCCCCCTAAACACAACCCTGCATCCTAGACCCCCCCCTTCGCTGCCCAAGATCTGGCCGGAGCCCCTTGCACTGGGCGGCTCGTGAAGATCAAGCTGCCTCCGTGGAAGCCTTTGCCAGCGAGGGGACGGACTTGGAGCTCTGGCAGAGTCCGAGACACCCACCCACCCCGCAAGGTACACTCAAGAGTAAGAGTAATAGAGGGGCCTGAAGAAAAATAATACGGTTTTGGGGGGTTATTATAGTAGCATTCCAAAGGGACCATAATGAAATATTATTTCAAATTATTCCGACCCCTATATTATTCAAGCTTAATTCGGAAGGGGTTGAAATGGGGGGCAAAGAGGGGTCAGAGATTTGTTTACGTGGTTAGTTGGCTTACTTGCGCCACCAGTTCTGCGGGGACTGCTGGGATTGTCAAGGTGTTTAGGATGAAACATGGTGAGTTCTTGTTGCTCCGCAGGTTCGTCGGATCATTGGGAACCTTTTGTGGCAGCTGTCTTCCGCAGATTTCCTAAGATCCCTAGTGTTGCCCTTACTTACTTGGGGGAGGGGGGGGGGGTTTAGCTTCCCTTACAAACCCCTTTTAGACCCCAAAAAGGAAGCTACTGGGCAACCGAGCTCCAAGCAAAATCCAAGGAAATGAAAGACGATCAGGGCAACTTGGCAGGGGGAACTCTCGCACTAACCCAAACCCTAACCCTAGCACTAACCCTAACAGGAGTAGAGCTGGAAAGGCCAGTATGCCCAGGAGTCCTTCTTACCCTAGGTCGTTCTGCGCCTAGGACTTTAAGTTGTAGTTGCTTTTTGGTGCATCTAGTTTTCGGAGTAGAGCATACCATAGGACGCCCAAGATTAGAAACTAAACCCTAAGACAAAGCCTAAAGGTCATTGGGTAGGGCCGGTGCGGCCTTTTGGAGTCAGGCTAAATCCTGGCATGAGACTTCTCTTCATTGCAGGGGCTTGGCTTGGAGGCTCGAGTTGCTCACCCTAAACCCTAAACCCTAAACCCTGAACCCTGAACCCTGAACCCTGAACCCTGAACCCTGAACCCTGAACCCGAAGACAAATGGGATCCAAGATCCGAGCATTGCATCGATAGGATCGGCAATGACTTGAAACAGGCCCGCCGCCCCACATTATGTACTTTATGCATCTGTATTTATCTGTATGCATATAGCATCTACCTATGTGTATGTATTTGTTTATTTATCTATTTATACTTTTTATTTATTCATATATCTATATTTATTTATCTGTTTGTTTATTTGTATGGATATATAGAAATATTCAGGTAACACGCCGCTTCATTTGGCCAGCATCTTCGGGAAGGCTGCTGCAGCCAGGGCACTGTTGACAGCTGGGGCGGATGCTTGGGCTTCAAGAGTTTCTGCCATAGCGAGAATATCAAGCTGTCTTGACCGATCTTTTCCCACAGACAGGAGGTCATCGGCGTGATTATTTGCAAGCCACCTGTACATCAAAGCCTGGTCCTCTTGAAGCGAAGTTAAGTTTAGCATCCGTGTGTAAGGACGCGAATGCAAAGAACCAGCAAGGCTTGACACCAAAGGAGCTTGCAGAGACATGGCCGCACTATGCCGCACCGAGTCCTATTGTCAATCCAGGTGGGCCCCACGCCCATACGGGAGCATTCATAGCTACCAATATGTTCAAATTCGATATGAGCCCCCATCTTCCATCCCAAGAAGCAGCACTGCCAGAGCCATACTCGCTGCTCGTTACCAGTTGCTAAAGGTTCCGAAGGCAACCCGAAAACCCGAATAAACCTCCAAACGTCGCCCTTGCTTCTTTGCAGACATCAACGCAACAACTGCCAGCACACGTTCGGGAACGGAGCAACTAAGGTTCAGGTTTACGGTTGGGGTTTAGGATCAATGTTCTTGGGGGGGGCGGGGGGGGGCAGGGGGGGGGGGGGGGCGGGCAACACTTGTGTCAGGAGAAGGCCAACTTGTATGGCGACCGTGCCGCCATCAAAGCTGCATTTGCCTAGCCCCTAAACTCTTCTAAACTCCTGAACTCTTGTGTGGGGGACTCCCCACCCGCTGTCGCTTGCGTGCTGGGCCATGGAGAACCAAAAAATCTTTGGAGTTTGGGTGCGCGGCAGTGCCAGGGCTTTGGGACTTTAGGGTGTTTAAGGGGTTTAGGGCTTTGGGAGATTTTGATGCGGCTCGGAGATAGCGATTACTACTATTTGCTAGAACCCCCAAAGAAAAATCCAATCATCCCTATATTACCCTTATAAGGAAGAATATTTTCTAAGGGGGTTCTTCAGCAATTGGTAAGTGAGGATGCCCAGGTGTACCAGTGCCTTCCCACATCACTGACCCCACGTAAATTGCAACATGTTGCTCCATTACGGGGTATTGCGTGGAGTTGGGGCATGGCGGGGCCAGTATATCCCTTAGTCCTCAATTAGGGGAACTTCCTTAAATTGCAGTCGGGTCCCCTGGACACAAATTCAAGGAATATTGTTGCCAGGAAATTTCTGGACATGGCGGGGCCCACTGGCAGGGCCCGCTGTCCATGCGCTCCAATAAGAATATTCCTACTGGAGAGGGGTTGCATGTATGTTTATGCTTATGTTCATTTTGCGTTTATGCGGCATTGCCTGCAATGAAGCAGCGAAATGGAAAGACATAGGACATGCGGGGTTAGCAGACAGATGCCCTCCCTCTCAGAAAATGCAAACCTGGCTCAATAAGGCTCGCCTTAGATTGCAGTGCCCTCTAACAAGTGGCCAAAGAGGTGCACATTTCGTTTTTGCTGTTCTGGACATTTGCGTTGTGCGCATGGCCATTTTCGCCATGCAGCTGGTTCAGGGCTTAGGGGCCTGGGGATTGAGAGGATTCAGAGTTCGATTCAAAGACCTTGTCGCCCCTATACTCCTATGCCGCCCCAAACTAGTGCCTACGTGAATAAGCACATGTTGTGGTTCAGGGTAGGTTTGAGACTGTTCGGGTAGTTCGGGTATTGGGGTTGCAGATTTATACTCTGGCTTGAGTCTTGTGCCTTTGGGACGTGGTGCCCCAGGTTCCAGGGTTTAGGATTGCCCTCGCGCCCCTTTCTTTCTTTCGGACGCACTGTGAGTCACAGTTAGCGGTAGTCTGAAGCAGGTCCTATTGACCCGGCAGTTCGTGACTGCAACCTAAGGCTCTCCACAGAAAACGGCCCCGCGGCGTACCGCGAAGCAAGCCTGCAGCATGTGAGACAAGACCTAAGCCCTGGCGAACCAACACAGGTAACTATTGCAACAGATAGTGGAAACATCACTCAGCTGGACTTTGCAAGCAATCGAACCATCGTCAGTGTATCTAGAATCACAGAGCAACTCATCTGAGACACAGGATTCCATCCCTGCATTGACCGCATGATCAGAAAGCAGCATCGCCCGATAGTGGCCTGCACTCGGGGTTGCACCCTCGCGCCCCTTCATCGAGTGCCTGCCTAACCGGCAAGAGCTTCCACGTAAGCCTAACCACCTAGCGCCTAAACCTGTCCTGCATATGAGATGCACATAACTCTATCTAGTCTCGGCACTCGCACACATGAACAGAGTGTAGGCACTTGATGTTTGATGGCCCAAGCAACCCAAGAGGGCCCGTTGTCTACGCAATCTACCCCTTGTGATGGCCCCATGCAGATCGACGGACTGGGCAAGCTGCTAAAACTGACACTCTGCGCACTGGCTGCGCTCAATAACATGTACCGAAGGCTTCCGGATTCTTAGGTCTCAGGGTTGGGGCATGTTGGTTTTTCGGCCCTTCCTCAGGGATATTCAGACCTCTTGCAACCTGCAGTGCACAGCTCAGGTGTCCTTTGGAGCTTGTGCCGCTGCTCGCGACCGGCACACCAGAGCGACGCGCTGTCACTCGAAAGCGCTGCACCCACGGCAAGCTCAGCACGAAGTGCCAACCCAGGAACGGAAACTGGGCCTGACGCGCAAAGCTCCCTGACCGTCCTTCCCACCTGCGGGGCAGATGGTGTTATCAGCCTGAATCAGGGGGTGACCTACCGCACGGATGTGAGCAATCACAGCATCCCAGAGACTTGCCACATGCTTCGGGGAGCGCCTGGCTCACGCATCGTGCTGTACGGCAGCATCACTTTTTCAAACACCCGCACTGTCATCATCCGAGGGCCACTGCACCTGACAATGGCGCCAGGGATCGGTCGACTCAGCTCCCCTGCGATTCGGAGTGCCGGAGACTTGCGAGTTGTTACACCGAGCGATAGCACTTTAGAGTTCAGGGACATCGCCACCTCGGATTGGGGTGCCGCGTTGTCTGCCTCACGGAGTGTCATGTTGGAGGGCAAAGGCCGAATGAGCTTTCGCAACATTTCCAGCAGAGGAGCCTCCGTTGCGCATAGCGAGTTCTTCGATGTTACCAGCACAGTACCACGCTCGAGATCCACAATGCTTTCGAAGAAGAGGGGTCAGGAGCCATCTACGCGGGCGGGCAGGTTCACCTTCACAGCGATGGCACGGTGCGTTTCGAGAATTGCACGTGCATGCGACGAGGGGCTGCCATCGCAAGTATTGGTGACTTGAAGCTGTCAGGCGAGGCCACATTTGTTTTCCAACAATGCAGGAGCAGATTGGCACACAAGGAAGGAGGCGGTGCTTTGTCCAGCCTTGGAGATGTGGTGTTCGATCTTCGCGGAAATGGGTCTGTTTTATTCAGGCAGTGCCAGGCAGAAGGCACAGGTGGCGGCGTCTACAGCAGTCACAACATCAACATTAGCGGCGGTAGCTTCGAGTTTGACGCCTGCCGTGCTGGGAACGGGAATGGACACGCAATTGCTGCAGGCAACCCTGCCTTTTAATCCTTCAAGTCTAGTTACGTAGATATTGTGAGAAAAGTTGTGGTGCTTTGTACTGGGTTTGCTCCGGGGCTCTCAGTTCAAGGCAACGGCCTTCTGCACATCAGTGAGCTGAGCCGGGTCACGCTGGCTGGCATGGTCAGCTACATCGGCTCGCCAATCTTCGCCCGCAGTGCAGCCATCCCTGTCGGTGGCAACGTTACTCCAGGAGATGTGTTTTACTTGGAGGAGCTGATGGCATCGAAGCCATTGAGCCAAGGCGAGAACACGTGCCCAGCAGGCTCAAGGTTCACTCTGGACACTTCCGGTGCCCCCATCCCGGGCAAGTGCCGGATGTGCGAATCTGGGACCGTGTCGCTCGCAACCTCACACGTGGGGGTTCGTGGCCAGGTTGCAGATTCTGTTGGGGATGGGGCTCGCGTCGTCCTCGTCGGCCGTGGCTCACCCAATGCCATTCAGTCCTTCCCGTGGTGGAACAGATCCCTGCAAAGCAATCCACAAAACTGCACGAACCATGGGCTTTGCTTGGGCATTGAACGTCCCGTTGCTGGTCGGATGGACCCAGTGCTCTTTCTGGGGCCACACAAGGATGAAGCTGCGCTGACTTTCGAGAACGGCATGTTCAGGGTCAGGAGCGGCAGTCGAATCCTTTTTCCTCCCTTCTGTAGACCCTCTGCTTCCCCAGCGTTTGTATCTGGACAAGCAGCAGGCCACTTCGAAATAGAGATGCCAAGAAAGAGACCTCCACAGGCCTCGGCAATGAGCAACGTTTCCAACCCTGTAAGCCTCTCCTTGTCGGTTTTGGGCCGCTTCCAAGTGGCCCTGCTTTGGAGGGCTTTAGCTTTGCGGGGTTTGGGTTTCAGTGTTTAGAAATGCTCACAGCCAAGCAGGACTGCCGATGAATGGATACTCGTGGTGCCCTACAACTCCTACACTCTAAATTCTTCGATCCTGGTCGTGAAGAGTCTGGACGGCATCCCATGGAGGAAGAACACCGAGACAGGACTTTTCCTCGTGGATAAGCAGGGCCGGGTCAGTCCTGCCCAGGCGCCGCATTTAGTTTTCGGTGTCGGTCATGAGGTGACCTACACCTTTCGCCCGCTTAGTCCATTCTTGACATGCCTCCCGTGCTATGACATTGCTCCGGAGAAGGCTGACAAGGCACAGTGCCGCGGTGCCACATCGGTCAGTTCGCTACCAGGCTACATGCTCCTCCACTCACCAGGACCGTCCCAAAGCGTGAGGTATCCCCCCCGCTCTGTATCATGCTTCACTACACATAGATCCTTCTTCTTCATGCAAGGACAGTGGAAACTCGAGGTGCATGCCTGCCCCAGCCGTGCAGCTTGCCCTGGCAGCGACCTGCGCCTCACTGGGGATGGCCGGCTGGCTCCCCAAACTCGACTTTGTGCCGAAGGCTGGGCAAAAGGGTTTCAGAGGTCTACGTTCTGAAGAATCTGAAGGTTGAAGGCGGGCGTACCCAGACACTGGCTAGCCCTCTTGAGGGCTTAGGAAATAGGAGTTAGGGAGCAAAACAAAGGGAAAATGATTTAGGGAACAAGTTTTAGGGATCCTGCTCTTTAGGACTTCGCGTCAGATTTTTGGGATTAGGGACCGTTTAGGGAAGAGGTTTTAGCAAGAAAGTTAAAGGAATCAGATTTCGGGATCCCGCTCTTTAGGATTTCGCGAAAAGGATCGACGGAATAGGGTTCATTTGCTTAAGGTTTAAGAGCTGCCCAGCAAAGGCTACCTGAGAAGCCCGGGCTGCGTGCGCTGTGCGCCCGGGTACGGCCGCCCTCTTCTGGACCCCTTCACCTGCAACCGATGCGGAGGCTTCATTGCTCGGCATAGGGCTTCTAGCTTATGCTAATGCTTGTCTGCGTGAGGTAGTGTATGGCATTGCACGGGGGGGTTGTCGAAGGTTAAGCACACAAGGACCTCAAATGTCGGGGTTTGGGAGTACAGGCGCAAAGCAAACAAAGCCTCACGCTCCCTCCCCCTCCTCCTCTCCCTCCCCCCTTCTCTCCCCGCTCTCCCCTTTCTCCCCCTTCCCCTCTCCCTTCTTCCCTGTTCCTCTCCATCTCGCTCTCTGTCTCTCTCTCTCTCTCTCTCTCTCTCTCTCTCTCTCTCTCTCTTTCTGTCCCTCTTTGTCTCTTTCATTCAGTCAGTCTCTCACACACACAGACAAGTTAATATTTGTGGTCCCAGACTAGCCGAGGTTTCTCCTCGGCACAACAGGCCGGCACGCGCCAGCGCGTTTCGTGATTTCGTGGCTGCTGTTGATGGTCTTAGCCTGCAAACCTCAATAAAAAGAACGAACAGTCACACAGCCTTAGGAGAGCCACAACCCCAATGCTGGGCCTTGGTTTCTGGCAGGTGGGCTTAGCGTTGCTTTCCAGTGGCTTCTTCTACTTTCTGGCGCTGGGCTCGGCGAGACCCCGGACACCCAGCAGATCTTCAAGGCACGCCGAGCTGATAGGAGTTGGGATGCTGAAGGTATTTCAAGCTGTTGGGATGTAGGAGCCTCTATGTGGACTCTGCGACACTGCTGCAGATGCACATCGAGCCTGTACTGTAGCCGGTTAACAGCATGGCACGAGAAGACACCAGACTACGTCCCTGCCACCACGCGCATAGTTGTGCCATGTACAGACATCATAGAAAGCAAGCTGCTGGAATCGTGGTATCAGCCAGAATTGGCTTCTAGTGTATTCAAGCTCTGAACACTTGCATGCACATATTTTGCATACCTTTACACTGGTTCAGGCAGCTTTTTTGTTTATTTATATGCATTTACAGCTTGGCAGTTGTAAGGACTTGCAACCAGCTGCCCAGCTGTTATCCCATTCCGTTGCCATCATGTCTACAATTCAGGTTTTCAGCGCACGGTCGACATTGGAAGCTGCACAGACATCGGCAGAAGCAGATTGTCGATCCATAAGTCCGAAATCTCATGAAAACTAAACCTTGGCCCTAACCCCGGAGCCCTACCCTAAACCACGGACACACACGCACAAACACAAACACACAAACACAAGCCACTGAATTGAGGCAATGAACGCATGCCTAGGGCCTACTCCGCAGGTGTTCCTCTCCTTCCTCACCATTTCCTGCCGGAGCCTATCTGCTTTGCCCCGCACACGTCATTACAAGAGACTGACGGACGACATCTACGATTCTGCACAGGCATCTGCAAAGTCGTAGAAGCGGCGAACTCAGGATGACTGGCCTTGTGTTGTACTTCCGCCATTCTTAAGAGAATTACTTGTCCGTGGTGCCCATGTTGGAAAGTAGGCACGCAACCTGTGCATTGCACATGCCCACTCAACTGCCGAAGCCTGAAGTCCTAACCTTCTACCCTCTGAACGACCTTGGGTAAGTTGTAATTTCCCCTATTGGTATGATTCGAATTGTAGGGGCTTCAGTTCCCTTGCAAAAGTTTGATTTTAATTCCTGGGTGGGTGGCGACCTATAACGACTGTATTTTGGACCATTTTTCAGAGGGCTGAAGCTGGAACATCCGGAACAGCCTCGTGCCTTCGGGTATGCCCTATAACCCTATAAACTCTTCTGCGGTCTCATTTTCGGTATGCTCTTGATACTTAGGGTACCCCAAGCCGGAAGCCCTAAACCCTAAGCCGCAGCTCATACCTAGTCAAAAAGACCTGCAGGCGCTTTACCGCTGCTTGTTCGCCATGGACCTGGTTATCAGTGCGGAACCCGGGCTCCGAAACCGCGATTTAAGGCTTTCAGGGTTTAGAAAGGGGCATTTTTCCTGTTAAGGGGGGCTTAGGGCTCCCAGGGCTTTCTAGGGCTTTTTCGGTAGAGGGTTCAGGAAAGGGGGGATTCGGTTTCGTTGGCTGCCCACTCGATTCTGAATTCTGAACAGGAAAACCACTCAGGTCCGGGTTGCATTCTTACGACTGCTGGGGCTTGGTGGATGGGCCTGTCAACTTGCACTGGAACGTTTGCCTGTCCTGGGCAATCCCAGCAGGACTGCTGCTGCTATCTTGGTGCTGGGTTGGCAAACATGGGTGGCTGAAGGCACTTGTGGTGTGGGGGAATGTCTTCTTTCCTCCACTTGTCGGCACTGCAGCGAAGATTCTGCCCTGCTTCTCGACGCAGGAGGCTCCAGGATTTTTCATCCATCAACTTCTCGCACCTTATTGCCTTGTTGTTTTGCCAGCGTATCAGCCGAGCCAAAAACTTTGAAGCCTTTAAAGACTCAGACCCCTCGGAAGGCAAGGCACACGCGCATCCTCATGTACGAGGCTGCTCTTGGCACAAAGTGCGTCTCCAGCTTCTCTGACATGCTGGGGCTGTCCCGTTTCTGGCTGGCTGCAGGGACAAGCCTTCTGCTGCTTCTCCTGGGGCCCCTTCTTTGGCTCGCACTGGCTGCCTGCGATCCTACGAAGGAGCCTGCAAACCACTTTAGTGATCCTAATGCTTGTTTACCACGTTGCAACCTCAAATCCTGCACTCCCCATGAGCTCAACAGACTCTTGAGTCTTGGGCCAAGCAAAGCTGGCTGGGCAACACTCATCGGGAGCCGACCCAAAAAATCTCTAGTGAGGCCGTCTATCTACGTTCAGGCCTTGATTACGAGTCGCATAGCACGACGCGCTCAGTTCTGGTTCGATCACAACGTTGCCTATGTGACCCTACGGCGAAATCCAAACCCGAAACTCAGTGACATGAATTAACTTGCATCGAGCTAGCATTCCAGGGCCTGCCCTCAGGAACACTGGGAGCGCAAGGACACGGTAGCCTTCCTGGTGGCAGGGTACAAGCCGAATCTTCGTTTTTGGGAGGCCACGCGGGGTTAAAGATTTTGGTTCAGGCGTACGTCATAGCCGGAGGCACCTGCCAGAACTGAACCGCGGGTCGGCACGTTGCAGGTGTTTCCAGCCGCGGGCAGCCACTTGGCCCTTAAGGCCCCTGAGTTCCCAGAATGCTCAGGTCGTCGTCCTGTCCAGGAAGGCGGCCATTTTCGTGGTCGCCACAGTGCTTCCAATGTCTTGGGCACCTGGCGCGCACTTAGTGTACCTCCTCGGCACCTTGCCCGGCTTAGAAATGTTTGAAAGTTGGGAATGCGCAGCGTTACGTCCATTGACGTGTGTTTTTGGGGGTTAGTAGGCTCTGGGCTTCATGGTTCAGGTGGGGTTGATGGCTTGGAGTAAGAGGCAGATCTTTTTCACCGCGCGAAAGACTTCTAGGAGTGTGAAAAAAATCACGCCTAGGCATCATTGTCGTTGCAGAACTCCTTCATGTCACCATCCAGCCCTACGCCAGCCCATTCCTCAATCGGCTGGAGGCGCAGATGCTGGGAATTTCTTCGGCATGCTTGGTGCTGGTAATTTCGTTGCTGGTGGAGTGGCCGTTCATGCCCTATGCCATTTATGTCACTAGCAGCACTCTCTTCTTTGGGCTCACAGTTGGAGTCTACATCTACTTCCTGTGTCTCTACATCCGCAGTGCGCTCGACAAGCAGCCAGAGACGAGCAAGGCGGACCAAGCGGAAGAAGGTGATGACTGAAGGCAAAGTTCGAAGAGACTTCTGTGGAGAGCATCGCTGCGGGTGCCAGTTCAAAAGCTGAGATTGAGGCGAGAACAGCGCTGCAGAGTTTTTGGGTTCGGGGGTGTGTAGGCACAAACCGCACTGTCAGTTGAATCATGGCCCTACGGCTCGCTACTCTGCACTGCACGCCTTCCTGTGCTTGCCCAAGCTCTAGACTCCATGAACCCTCAACCTTAAAGACAAATTTGTGTCAAAGGATGAAGCTGCTGTCAGGCAGTACCTTAACTTCTCCCTCTTCTGGTGAGGCAACTGGCAAGAAGGTCGCTTCCTTTACTACGACAGCCAATTCCCCCGATGTCCCCCGATACCCTAAACCATGAAGATCTCAAACCTTGGGACTGAACGAATCATTGGGATTCCCAATGCAAGTACCGGATGGACCAAAACCCTTGTCAAGGTTCAGTTAGTCTCCAAGAAGCTGCAAGGATAGAGGGTGTAGCTAACTACACTGAGTCTAGAGAAATGCCAGCCGAATCTCATCCAATGCGGATGCATCCAAAATATGAGCTGCGCATGGGATGCTATTGCTGTATTTTCCTGATAATGCTGTATTTGTTGTCCCAGAATTCGAACTAGCACCCAGATGGCAGTTTTCTTTGCGAAAGTTGCGGTTGTCTTTCAGCTGCTTCCTGCTGCGCAGCTTCTCAAGGGTAAATAGGAGAGGCAGGGACATGGAGATGAGTAGTAGCAGCGAGCCACGGAGCACGCGCCTGAAATCATTCTGAAACCTCACTCACTTCTTGAGCAACTTAACGGGATATTTCGCTTATGCACAATTTTACACAGCGTCCCAAACACACAACCAGAACCTATGCTTCCGACCGCACTCGCGACAGCACTGCTCAACACACATAAGCATGACTTCGCAGCTAGGCACGGAGCCCTTTAGGGCCCTGAAACCCCATGGGAGTAAGCCAGGACCACCCTCAACCCCCCCACCCCCCCCCGCAAAACAAAGCAGACCCTGAACCTCCGCCCCACCCTGGCTGCTCCGCGGTGGGAGACTCCTCCCGAGTCTGGCGTGGAGCCCAGGCCTGGACTGAAAGGGATTTGTAGGGCTAAGGGCTTCAGGGTGTAGTGGGTCTTTGTGAGGCCGTGGAGGGCGCGGATGTGCTTCAGCTGATTGCAGTGCGGGGTGGAGGGTTTAGGGTTTCGGGCTTAGGGTTAGAGTTTAGGTTTTCGTTTTCACTTTATTTGCCCTTGTTTCGGGAGCTGCGTCTCATGGCGATCCGAGCGCTGCAGTGACACGGACAGGTTTGTCGCTGCGCCTTGCATCTAACCCTCAAGTGCTCCTTGCACTGACCAGGCATGTCAGCGATAGCTTCGGCAGGGGCCTCGGGCCAGCAAGATTCAGCTTGGGCTTAGGGATCCGGGGATTGAAAAGGTTTAGGGTTTGGGACAATTTGGGGGATCTTCGGCTCACGGACGCCTATGCCAGAGTTGCGCCCAACACAGCGGCTTCGGAGTTCCGGAGGGGATGTTGGGCCTTCAAAAGTGTTGGTCTGCGGTCGTGTGCTGGCAAGTAAAGTCAACGGATGAGGCGCTGCGGATGAACTGCCCTAGCACCGATCCCTCTCTACCCCCCAAGTTTATTCAGGATCATGTGCCAAGAATCATGCGTATCCACTGGCCCAAACCCTAAACCCTAAACCCTACACCCTAAACCGCTTGCGCTCAGGAATGTTCAGGGCTGAGGGTTCCAAGGGCACCCGAAGAATCCGACTGAGGGGGCGGCGCCGGCCGTCTCCTCCAGCAGCTCCGCATCAGGTGTGATGTAGTAGGGATTGATCAGGGAGAGTTGATCTTAGCTTTGGCGTTCAGGGTTTCTGGGTATACCATGACCCCTCTACTACAGGGGTTTAGGATTTTGGGGCTTGGGGCTAAGGGTTCGGGCTTTCGGCTTTGCGTAAGGGCCTGAGGAAGGCCGGGGTCTGTGAGCGTGACCGTTGGGGGTTTAGGGTTTAGGGTTAGGGTTGTTTCGGGCTTAGGGTTTGGGGCTTGGGGCTTGGGGCTTGGGGCTTGGGGCTTGGGCTCTTCTTGAGTGTAGGGCTGAGGTTCAAAGGTCGTAAGAGATACGCGACGGGACAGGAGATGTCAGAGTTTGCTTGCAAATATCCTTTAGTCCATAAAACCTACAACCCTGAAGAGACCCAAAAACCTGCGTGAAACCCAAAACCACAGCAACAGCAACAAAGAAAAACGCAAGCCCTGCAAATCTAAGGACACTGAACCCATAAGGCCTAAACCCATAAAGCCCTGGAGCACATAAGACCCCGCCCCTGCCCCCCCTAAATCCTAAACCCTAAACCCTAAACCCCAAACCCCAAACAAACCCCCCCTCCCGACAAAAAAACTAAACAAAACTCACATCTGCCCCCCCCCCCCCCCCCGGCCCTTGTTTTTGAAGGCACGAACGTGGGCCCGGTGCGGCCAAGCTCCGACGTCTCCCTCACCGCCTCGGCCAGCACGGCGCCGGTGGCTGGGGGCTTGAGAACGGGGTTTACAGGGTTCGGGGCTTAGGGTTCAGGGTTTGGGGTTTGGGATTTAGGGTTCACGGTTAGGGTTGAGGGTTTGGGGTTTGGGGTTCAGGGGTTTAGGGTTTAGGGGGTTTGGGGGTCCAGGGTGTTCTTAGAAGGCTTTGGGACTAGGGAGTGTTGGGGTTTTGGGTGGTCAGGATCTTGGGTTTAGAGTTTGGGGGTTAGAGTTTAGAGTTCAGGTAAGCCCTAAGCCCTTTGCCTGTGTTTTGCGCGCTGCTGTCTCAACCCTGAAGCCCAAAACCCCAACTGAAGCCTATAACTCAAGCTAGCACTTCCACATACCAAGGCATCTGGCCCCCAACGCCGGGCTCCGAGAATTCATCTGGGTTGCTTAGCGGTTTGGGGTTCTCAGGTCGGTCTGTGGAGGGGGCTTCAGGCTTGACGGGTTTGGGGGTTTAGAGGCGAAGGGGGGGGGGGAGGTTTTGGGGGTTTGTGTGCATTGAGGGCTTTAGGGGTTTTAAAGGTTCCATTTTGGTCTTGCGAAACCGAGCCAGAGTTTCAAGCGCTGATCGAGCCATCCGGTGACCGTGGGTGTCAAAATCATCCGTTCGGGTATGGGTGTTAGGGGTAGGGTTTCGGGTTTAGGCGACGGCCGCCTGCCGGACTGGTGCTTTGCTTTCCCGATATTTCCGGATTCGCCATGTCTGCTGTATTGGATTTCCATAACAGATGCTCTGCCTTCTTCTAACAACTGCGGAGCGGAACTGGGCACTGCAGGGTTCAAGCTTGGAGGGCCGCCTCCCGAAGCCCCTCTAGGCCCTCACCCCTCAACCCTAAAAGGGTTTAGGGTTTAGAGCTTAGGGTTGAGGGTTTAGGGCTCAAACTCCCCCCAAAACACGCTTCCTTGTCGAGGCCCAGGAACTGGCGGGAAGAAGTGGAGTGAGGCTTGGGGGGCTCTTCGGGCTGGGGAGGGAATTTCCTGTTTTTTGTCTACTTTGGTGCTATGGTATAGACCCGTCAAAGCCCACAGCTTACCTCAAACCTGAGGGCAGATAGTTAGGGCGGCAGGATACTTACAACCCAAGTATGACCAGAACTCTCATATTCCGCGTATACTTGAGTTACAGCTACAGTCGTCAAGTACAGTTCAGGTGTCCTGATTCAGGGCTCCTGTCTTCCACCTGCTGTGCCACAGAACCTGCTGAGAAAGACTTCACAAGAAGCTGGGTCATGACATCGGCAGGACTGTGGGACATGTTCATGTGTTCCCTTTGTGGCTCAAGAGGATCTTATCAACCCTAAAGACTGAACACTGGAAAATTGATTCAGAGCGGCCATGCTGGCCCCAGAGGTTGGAGGAAACCCTGAAGTACGAGTAGCGGCTCTCGAGAATCTCCGAGAAGATTGGCTAACCAGCATATCATCTAAAGTAAGCAGGCTCCTCTTTCACTTTGTTCAGCTGCACGAGGCCCTAAACCGAAATGCAGACATTGCTACCCGAAATGCAGACATTGCTACCCGGAAGAGGTCTGCGAGCAAGTGCAGAAGAAAGACGGGTCCGTTCGCGCTGGAAGGACATGGGACGACAGAATCGCTAAGAGGTTCTGCAGAATGTCGGGTTCTAACTAGAATACAGCCCCATGGAAGATTCACAGCATCCCTTTTTGAACCTTAAATTTTCATTTCTTAACCCTCAACCCGGTCTTTATTCTGATTCTACAACGGGGGAATAGGGAAGGATACGAAGTGAGAGTTGCGAGGTTTTGGGAGTCTAGGGCACTAGATATCAAAGCAGGATGGCTGAGCAGAACTCTCCCTCATGCTCTGACGAAGGGCATTTTGCACTGGGGTTAAGGGGTTAGGTTCAGGGTTCACATGTTCTTAAGCTGACGACTGCACCAACTTGAGACTGCCATCCCTTCCGTGAAAGTGACCCTCATAGGACCTTGACACCCCGTTGACCTAGCCCTAAACCCTAAACCCTAAACCCTAAACCCTAAACTAGACCCCTAAACCCTTAACCCCTCACTTCCAGGATCTGCCAAATAGACGGTTGCACATCCCCGTGCCTGCAAGGTCCCTGTGCACAAATCCTTCAACGCGCCTCATGCACGTCCCTAAACCTTCAGAAACCCTCAATCCCTCAAGACGCTACAAACCCTGACCACCCCGAGAAAACAACCCACCAAACCAAAACCCAAAACGAACCTGACGGTTTCAAGCCCCCACCTTTCAAACGAAGCACTTCCCTAAACCCTCAAGGACCCTACAAACCGTAACAGCCCCCCGAGACCCTCGAAACCCTCAAAAGCCCAGACACAAGACCCTAAACCCTAAATCCTAAACCCCGAACCCCAGGACCTCTCCGCCCTTCAAGTCGGCTGCGGCCTCGGCGGGAACCTCGCCGCCACGGCCGCGCCAGGCCCCAGGCACGCGGCGCACGGTCTGGGATTCTTCGAAGGCTTTCTTAGTAGCTGAGTG